AGATGATTTGACACATTGCATACACGGAAAATGTTACTCGGGAGGTTAATGACCAATGTATTAATGGAAAGATTAAACAACTAAGTTTATTTTAAGTTATCTAGTTGATAAATTTGGCACCGTAATGGTTAGTGAACTATAGGAATCGTTAATTTGTTTCGTTATGGCGACTCCGCAAGAGGAAGCATTTTGCGTCTTACGTTTCAATAAGTGCGAGTCGGCGATAACCGTTCAACGTGATTTTCGAAGAACTTATGGAACTGAAGCTCCTACTGCTCAAAGCATTCGACGTTGGCGCCAAACTTTCCAAGAAAGTGGTTGTCTGTGTGCACAGAAACGCTCAGGTCGACCTCATACCTCTGACGAAAACATCGAGCGAGTTCGACAAAGTTTCGTTCGAAGTCCACAAAAGTCTACATGTCGTGCAGGCCTAGAGCTAGATCTCCCACATTCGACCGTTTGGCGTGTTCTACGACGTCGTTTGACATTGAAGGCATACCGAATACAACTGTTACAAGCCCTCCTACCGGATGACAAACAAAAAAGGATTGATTTTTGCAATTTCATATCCGAAAAACAAGAAGAAAATGAGTCATTTGTCTCACGCATTGTTTTTTCGGACGAAGCCACATTTCATCTAAGTGGAAAAGTCAACCGCCATAATGTCAGGATTTGGGCTTTAGAGCAACCATACGCAACTGTTGAGCATCAAAGAGATTCACCAAAAATCAATGTTTTCTGTGCAATTTCCAGGAAAAAAGTTTATGGTCCATTTTTTTTTTAAGAAAACACAGTAACGGGTAACACATGTCTAAACATGTTGCAAACATGGTTGTTTCCACAGTTACAAGCGGATAGTGATGAGTTTGTTTTTCAACAAGATGGAGCACCGCCGCACTGGAAGTTAGAAGTTCGCCGGTATTTGAACGGTGAACTCCCTCAGCGGTGGATTGGGCGTAAAGGAAACGACGATTTGGCGATTCATCCCTGGCTACCACGTTCCCCTGACCTCACAGTGTGTGATTTTTTTTTATGGGGCTACATAAAAGATAAAGTGTATGTACCACCATTACCTACAAACTTGGAAGAGCTTAAAATCAGAATCAAAGATGCTGTTAATGCCGTGACACCAGATTTGATCAGCAACGTTTGGGAAGAATTTGATTACCTTATAGATGTGTGTCGGGCGGCCGGTGGGGGTCATATTGAACATTTGTAACCAAAGTAAATAAAACTTGACTATTTTAAGAATATATTTTACTTTATTTAACCCTTATATCTTTATTTTTAATATAAATATAATATTCTGAAATCGGATGAAGACTTTTGATACACCTTGTATAACAGTAATGTTAAAAATATGTCACATTTGGAATTTAGAAGAAAGGTTGCCAGCGAATTAATTGGACATACTGCACACACCCCAAGTCCTTCAACTAGTATTTCAAATATACACGTAGTTAAAAAAGTTGATATCAGAAAAAGATGTAGAGTTATACAAAGAAGGTCCGGAAAAATACTCAATTCGTATGTGACACATACATTGATAATAAGGGGAAAACAATAGGACTGTGCCCGGATCCGTGTCTTAAAATTTTCCATTCTTAATTTTGTTAATCTCAGAGTTGTTAGTTTTAATTTTAAAAATAGTCGATTTTTATGTCATAATTTTGTACCTATTTTTATATAGGTAGCTAACGGAATGATTTTTAATTTTGTTTTTATTTGAATTGTATTTGTTTTATATAATGGGTCGATTTTCAATTTTTATAATATGTTGATTTTATTATTATTATTTTTAAAATTTTATAATGATTTGTTTATTTAATCTATCGGGTTGATTTTTTTTTAATTTTTTTTTTTTATTTGAATTGTACTTGTTTTATATAACGGGTTGATTTTTAATTTTTATAATATGTTGACTTTATTATTATTTTTTAAATTTTATAACAATTTGTTTATTTATTTTTCCTGATGTTTCTTTTTTATATTATTCCAATTAATATAAATAAATATTAACTTGGTTTATTAACACTTTTGAACATGAAAAGAATAAAATATCCAATGTCAACTACGTATGACATTGGGTTTTGTGTAATAATAATTTTTCATATAAACCCATGTCACAAATATATGACATGCCTTAAAAAACATGAAGAAATGGTAAAAACGAATTTTCAAGGTCAAAACTATAAAAATATAAGTACTTAGAACTAGAAATTAATTATATTAGGTTTGGGTTTGGCCTAAGATTTTCAAAAAGGTCTTGGGCGGTGAACGTGTTAATTGACAAAAATGTAGAAACTTACAAGAAAGCATTTTTTCATCTAAATTCAGAATGTATAAAAAATAATATTAATTTTTTTACCGAAAATGTTATTTGCTGATTTCAAAAAAGCAATTCAGTCCTCCGCATTATTTGTTTGGCCATCTGTCGAATTAAAAGGATGCCGATTCCATTTAGGCGAGAGTTGGTGGGGAAAAATTCAAGCTCTAGGTTTGAGTAATGAATATAATCTAAATTCAGAATAAGCAATTAGCTAAAAATATATTTTGGTCTCCCTTTTTTAAAAGCTGAACATGTAGAAAACTGTTTTACCGATGATATAGTATCAATTTTATCACAGAATAAAAAAGTAGAAACAATTACAGATTATATTTTAAACATATATATAACCCCCGATTGTGACTTTCCTCCTTCTTTATGGGCAATGTATTCGGGATCAATTACAAGGTCAAAAAAAAGCAGTGAAGCTTTCCATTCAAAATTATGATGTTTTATTCTGCTCATCCAAACATCTATAAATTTATTGATGTACTTAAAAAAGTACAAAAAGATACTTACATAAAAATTCACAGCAGTAGTCAAAGAAAGAAAATAAGACGTGAAATATGTGAAAAAAAAAGAATTTTTATGTAATCAAATGATGAAAAACGACGTTAACGAAATTACACGTTTTGTTTATGTTAAAACTGTATCGCTCAAATTTTTACCGAGCCATAAATAATATTACAATAACATGTGATAACTATAACCTTATAACCTAACTTATATTTTTTGAGATTTTTTTATTATTATTAATTTTATTAATTATTATTTTTTTATTTAATGACGAAAACAATATTTTTGATTTACATAAAAACAAAAAGATGAAAAACAATATTTTTAACCTACCTTTAGCAATATAATATTTAATATTGCTATTGACAGTCCTAAGTCTGTACTAAATGGGAAGGAAAATAATGTATATATATCGGAAGCAATTAGTATAGTTGAGTCCAGTCAAGGAATGAGGTGTAGAGTGCGTGAGCAGGTAACTTAGCGATTCCTTCAGAAACTTGTTCGGGGGGCTTAGGGTATTAACATACTAAAAGTCCTGACACCTAGGTGGTGAGCTGGAGGGGGAGGGGGGTTAAAGTTGCGCTTTTTGGGTTTTTCACTTATATCTCGTAAACGGTGCATGGAGGAAATTTTTTTTAAATAATAAAATAAAGCTCATGAAATTATCTAAAACTTTTATATCGTATGTTTTTTTCGAATTCACAACCGTTTTCGAGCTACACCTTCGAAAAAAGTAGAATATTACAAAAAAAACCATTTTACCATTTTACCATAAGTGAAAAACCCAAAAAGCGCAACTTTAACCCCCCCCCCCCCTCCGGCTCACCACCTAGGTGTCAGGACTTTTAGTATGTTAATACCCTAAGGCCCCCGAACAAGTTTCTGAAGGAATCGCTAAGTTACCTGCTCACGCACTCTACACCTCATTTTGAGTCATTCATTGACTGGACTAAGTTGTTAAATATTATCGGGACGCAATTCGTATGAAAAAGAGATCTTATGCATGGGCAGTTTCAAGTATACCGTTTTGGTACCATCTGGATACAGACAGACCACTGCTAGATCGAGACAGACCTCGGCGAATAGGCGTGCCCTGGCTGAACCAATCAATACGGGGGAAGAAAATGTCGAACAATTATCAGATGGCATAACGCTAGCAAATAGTTATAAATGAATTTTACAATCTAAATAATGAAATAAATATAGAAGACGTGGTCAGATTTTAGGATAACGCAGATGGACAGAGTAGTTACTCTAAGCAATACTAGCAGTAATAATAGTAACAATAATAGCAATATTAGCAGTAATATCGGTGGAAGAATCGATAATGGCGTTCTTAGTGATATAGATGAATTAGAGATAGTTAATAATATAGTTGGGGCACTGAGAGAACGCTACTGGGCGGCGACCAAAATACGTCCGTTTTCGCGCATTCCCACCACTAAACCTAGCCGAATGCTGGCCGCCGTTAATGCGCGCCGCCGCCACCGACGCCGCCTGCTACCGCCTACCACCACCGCTGCCGTCGTTCTGGTCACGTGTTCTTATAGTGGTGGTGTTGTATACAGCGTTATTAGCGATTTCAAGTATCTCACGTTTTGTCATACATACAATATTCACCAACTTTTTTTCTTCGCGTTTTTTTAGCATACCATTGCTTATAAGTATTTTTAGTATTGTGTATCTTACTATCTTAGAGTACTTAATACACCATGGATCTCGTCGATATATCGCCTTCCAAAAAAAATCCTCGTTGAAAAGTAAGTATTATTATTATGTTGTATTATTATTTTTCTATAGCAAAATTCTTAATTTATTAATTTTATTAATTTATTATTCTTTAGTTTGTTGGTACTGGTCAAAAGCAAATAATCATTAATCTGTACAAAGAGAAGATCAAACAACAAGAAGAAAACCCAGACAGCCCCCAATTGACCTACAGACAAATGCTGTTAGAAATCTCTAAATCAAGTGGTATTGGGCAACGGACGATACAAACGACATTGGCTGAATATAAAAAAAAGGTACAGTTTCATCACCTAATAAAAAAAAAATTAGACCTACAATACTCGAAAAAGTAGATAGTTTTGACAAACAAGCTATCAGACGAAAAATACATGGCTTTTGGTTGAATCGTGAAGTTCCTACTATACAAAAAATGTTGATAGCTATTAATGAAGATGAAACTCTACCAAACCTCAAACGTTCTTCATTTCGTAAAATATTAAAAGATTTGCATTTTGTTTACGCGAAAAAATCCCGCAATAGTGCGCTTATTGAAAGAGAGGACATAATTATTTGGCGTGGTAAATATTTAGATCAAATAAGAAAATACAGATCACAAAACAGACCAATATACTACCTTGACGAGACGTGGGTAAACGCAGGTGAAACCCATAGCAAAGCATGGCACGACAGTACGGTCAATTCACCGCGCGAAGCATTCCTCACAGGGCTCACAATGGGACAAAAGGAACCCTCGGGAAAAGGCAAGAGCCTCATTGTGTTACACATAGGATCAACTGACGGTTTCGTACCGGGTGGCCTTTTATGTTTTGAGTCAAAAACCAACTCATCGGAATATCATGATGAAATGAATGGCAGTACTTTCTTTGAATGGTTTGCAAAAATGCTGCCGTTACTTAAAGAAAATGCTGTCATAGTGATGGACAACTCCGCCTATCATTCTGTGACAAAAGATCGTATTCCAGTGATGTCATGGAAAAAGCAGGAAATAATAAATTGGCTGGAAAGTAAGGGCTAGAACATTACTTATCCAACAACAAAAGGGGCATTATTGTCTAAAGTCAGAACAATACATACGGATGACCATGAGAAATACGTTATTGATGAGTATGCGGAAGATAACAATAAAACAGTATTAAGATTGCCCCCGTACCACTGCGAGTTGAATCCTATAGAACTAGCATGGTCGTCTGTTAAGAGGTATGTCCGTACTCACAATACTACCTTTAAATTAAAAGATGTAAAAGAATTGCTGAAAAGAGGCGTGGAACTAGTAACACCGGAAATGTGGACGAATTTCGTTAGGCACGTCATCAAGGAGGAAGAAAAATTTTGGAAAATCGACAACATAACAGACGATTTTATGGACGAAGAACCTGAAGAAGGAGCACGTCATATCCTAACAATAGGTGATACAAGTTCGGATTCTGACTCGGATTAATTTCTTTGTATTTGAATTATTTAATTTTTTTTAGTATTATTTTTTAGTATTATTTAAATTTTATTTTGATCAAATATATGTTGGAATAAATAAATAAACACATTTATAAAATATTTATGTCAGTTGTCAGGAGTTATTATTTTCGTTTTACTTGAGCCGCTGTATACAGACACTTGTGGCTTCTCGACGGCGGCGGCTGTCTAATTAGTTGACGATCATTGAGTGGGGGAAATTACGGCGGCCAGTGGTCACGGAAACACGGAGCTCGTTCATTTAGATGCGCAAGGAGTAGCGTTCTCTCGGTGCCCCAAGTATAGTTATAATGATATGGAGGAACTTGATATAGATTCGAATAATTTTATTAGTAATATGGGGGAATTAGAAGTAATTACAGATAGTGATAGTGATTGAAATATAAAAATATAATGAAAAAAAAAGAGAGGATAACTAATTAAGAAAAAAAAAGGTGTTTAAAAGTACTTATTGATTTTTGGGAGAACGGTATGAGAACGGTGAGTGTCGAGACAATATTCTACGAGAACGAGTGACGCCGGATGTCACTGGCAATGGGACTATTGAGCAAATAGTACTTTACAAACACATAGCGAATACAGCACTTATTTGTTTCACGGAGCCGAAGAAAGGTCACACACTGGCCCAATGGAAATAAGTGGACGAGATTTTAAATGTATTGCGATAGTAGAATATTGACACGGTACGCAGAGGCAACCAGTACAAAGTACAGGTACCGAAGCGACCGGTCTACGCTTTTGTCAACCGCCACCACGGGCTACGAGCGCGACATCGCCACAAAGGCACAAGGCGGGACGGGAAGGCAAGTCGCTCAAGACGAGTACCGGCGGCCGGCGGCTCGGCGCTCGCTCTCTTAGCCTCTCTTGCAATTCGACCATTCTTCGATACACACCCCGTTCCGTTCTCGACACCGAGAAATCTTGAAATCAAATCTTGCGAGTTCAATTTAAATCACTTCTACATGACCATAAACTTTCATCCTCCGAAGTTGAAAACTCATCAAGTGATAAATTTAATGATAAATCATGGTGACTTTTTAATATTTCCCTACCTAATTCACATTGTATACCAATCTCGTTTTGTTTACCAGCCACAAATGATTAATTTGTAATCGCCACTAAATTACCGCCTTCTACATCATCGTCATCATCAACATCACTCGATTTACATTCACTATTTTCAAAAGACCTAAATGAGGGCTTTAACTTTTTTGGTGTAGGTACTTGTCATTATAAAAGATATAATTTCTTTTTTTTCTTTTTCTCGTTCGGATAAATTTGAAGAATTTGAAGTAGAGCAGGGTATATTTTGATGAACCGTAGGAACAGCATTTGTGTTAAGTTTTACTTTGACTTTTACATTGGGCATTAATTGTTGTCGTAATAAATCTGACTGGTTATAGTCTTCAGACTTAAATGCTTTGAACAAATTCTCGCGCCATTACCGGGGTTAAAGTTTTTTCGTTTACAATAATCGACCAACTTCGAAACCTAGTAGGTGATTTTGAACGACATGGAACCACATGAAAATGAACTCCAGATGACGATTGCTTTTCACTTCTTTCATTATAATTAAAAACAGAGCACAGCGTCATTTTCACAATCTAAAGTTAAATGAAAATTCAAAGCTTATTCACAGAAAAAAATATTTTGTTATAAGCTATAGCAATAAGCATAAAACTTGACTATCAATCAAAATAAACGAAATATTAATCATTAATTTTTAAATTTTATGTCCGGTACCAAAAAACATAAGAAAAATTGAGTAAATAATCCTAGTATAAAAACCATCTAAATTGTAAAATTTTAATTTTAGTAATAAAATTACAAAATAAAACTTTTTATGAAAAATTATAATGAAGGTATCCCGTAAAATTGTAGCTTCAATAATATAATAAAAATATATGAAATAATAAGAACTTCATTATAATTATTAAAAAATATTATGATATGGTATATTATGCTAAATAAAATAAAATCTCGTCATACCTTTCCCGGATAAAAATACACGGCCGCCGCCTCGGTTGGATCTTATGACGTCACGCGTAATTTGTTAAACGCTGCAACTATAGAACGAATCACCGTTGACAACTTTTATTAAAATTTTAGTTTATGGAAATTCGTAATAATAATAATAATAGACAAAAAAAAAATATATGAGATTTTTGTGTTGTATGGTCCTTTAACGTCGCCCCCGTTTTGACTGTATCCGAACGACGGCCACAGACTCGCCATCATTGAGCATCATATATTCATGTACATTATTCACTAATAAATTCACGGCACTGTTTACGCCGTTACGAGTGTTTGTACTCACCGCGTTCTTAAATAAACGTCCACATGGACACTACCGTGCATATGTACGCGTTGTTATTGTGCTACATTGTGAGCTTCACCCTCATCCACACTCCAACAACGCATCAACGACCGGCTTACCGCGACCACAACACCAGAACCGCCGTAGCCGTGTCAATATCATATTTACAAAGAACAGGACCAAGAGGGGAATATATACGATAGAACTCATTTCATAAATTCGAAACTAATATATGTATATATTAATTTAGGTTCTTTTTAATAACAGCAGGTCAAAGTCAACTCCCGTATAAAGTGGAAGAATTTAAAAATCAAACAATGATGTATTACGAAAATTACGGGACGGTACGATTAACAGGAGCTACATGACAGTTGATCACGTATTTGCCATTGTCAAATGATGACAGTCGACACGATAGATTAAAAACGGAAATAAGTATAATGGCTAATATTTGTAAAAATAATGTAACAGTATACGAAATGAGCCCGTGACTAGACGATATGTTTAAGATATTGTTCTAAGAAATTTCCTTACAACTTGAAAAAATGTATGAATCAATAGGTAGATACACCGAGCATTCAGGAGAAAAGACCACATGTCTGAGTAGGAAAAAACGTACTCATTAATTTTGTGGGGTCCGCAATGAAAACACTGTTCGGGGTATGCGACGAAGAATGCGCAAAAGAATAGATAGGGAAAATAGAAAAAACTAATGAACGAATGTTACATATTATACTTAAGGACCAAACAACTGTAGTTAAATCTGAAATCAAAGGTATAAGTGCAACATCTGGGGAAGTAAATAGGTTATATACGGAATGGGTAAATAAACAAGGAACGATCAGATAATTAATAAATAAAACAAATACTCTCGAAACATTAGTTTTATGGAACAAAATACACGGTATATTTACGTCGTCGTCACAATTTTCTTTTGAGACTATGTCTCTTAGAGCGATCATAACAGCAACCAGGTCAGGAGTATTACATCCAAGTCTAATGACTCCGCGTGAGCTGGCAAATCATTTGACACAAATTAAATTAAATTTGCCGATTAACTTAAATTTACCTATACGAAATATACGAATTAAGTAAGATTACGAAAATGGCCGTATTTTATAAAGAAAAGTAAATAGTTTTCGTAATAAATAAACCGCTGGTAACGGAATTGGAGATTACATTATATAGAATACTTCCGATACTACAACCGGTAGAAAGCATTACGAAAAACCGGGAAGATTATACGACTTTTAAGGAAACACAATTATTGAGTTGTAAAGAGACAGAAATATTCACGATATGTCCTGAATTTTCAACTAGGAGTCCATGTGAAATTTCGTTATTTAAAAACCCGGACATATTACCGAGAACTTGCAGGAGTATTAGTACTAACGAAAGATATTTTTTATAAATTAAAATATGCAACACTGAAAAAAATCGGTGTGGGGTTACAACAGAATAAATTTGTTAATCCTTAATTGGTTAATACTATTTTAAAACCTTAATACTAACTAAATTATGTGGTTCATTCAAACAACGTTTTGTCAAGAGTATCAATTGATTTCTGTTAAATGTACCAATTTTTATGTTATACCAAATATGTACCTTGTACCTACTACAAGTCAAATAATCTAACCATATTTATGGTTTCCCCAATCATAAAAATTGAAACGCAACTACGGTAATTTACGTAATTTGCGTGATTGTTGATTTGCGTGACATAAAGGGTTTTATTTTCTTAACGTAACTGTGTAATTAGGTGTATAGAATTCTAGTAATTTATAGTAACAAAATATTGTAATGCCAACAAGCCAACAATTATCATTTTGGTAATGGGTACAAAATAAATAATACGCTATACACAAATAGAATACAGATAACAAAATATAAAGGGAAAACCCAGTGTCTCTAACGCTGATGGTCGGCGGCGGTCCGACGTGGCTACCATTCATGAGTGTCGAGAGTGATGGTAACTTGTTATCAATTTCCGTAACTATTATAAACTGTTATTGTTACACAAATATAAAAGTGAAAATAACAGTGAAAATAACAGTTACTGTTATTGATACTGTTACTAGAAAAAAAAGCTGCTATCGGCGATGATATTAACATCTGGGAGAAGCTATTATACAAATTGATTTAAAACCATTAACAGTCACAATACATTAAAATTTTCCCAATGGATAATACTTACTTAAAATATGAAAATTAATTGTCTGCAATGTGTA